AGGAATTTCACAAGCTGGTCCCAATGTGAAGCCTGGGGTCCAAATATAAAGCAAGAAACAATAGCAACATGAATTGGTTTGAATCTGGAGAGTTGTTTCCAACAGAGGGAAAGTGTCAGCCCTTCGAGGTAGTTCAGAGAAGAAGCACAACCAGGAATACCAGCTCTATTTTTACTGTAAGGTTACATTAACTGAATCCTGCAAGTCTGAAAGTATTTCTCCCCTCCTTTCCTTTAACTCTCTGGACAACTAGGGAGGGTCCCTTCTGAAATGCTTCCTGCACCCTCTGTCCTTCTGAGGGCTGAAGTATCTTTTACATGCCAGTGGTCCAATTTGCGGCTCTTCCTCCTGCCTCCCAAGGTCATTCCCACATACCATTACAATAAGGGACTGAAGGTACTAGCATGGCTTGATTAGGGGCACTGATGCCCTCTCTTCTCAAGCCCTTTGTGGCTACCAGCATGTTCTTAGGCTAGGCACTCTACCAGAATCCAGTTCCTCATTATGTAAACTAGATCTTTCCTATTCCTGCTCATCGTCTTTTGAAGCTGCTTGCAGGTGCCTAATTGCCTGCTGGCTCTGCAGGCTGATTGTCTGTCTCGTAATGCAAATTTTAAGATTGGTTGGTTGAATGTGATATGAGCTGTATATAACAGAAGTAAAACATGTATGATGATCATTGGAATGTTTAGTACATGGTTCAACTGAGCAGAAACTAAGAAAAGGATGTATTTATGTTATATGGTGAGTTGGTTGGTCATACAGAGACAATGAGGATTAAATTACAAAATGAGAAGACAGGGAAGACTGGGTAAGTGGTATTTAGATGGAGTTGATGTGATCCTGAAAAACCGAGGTAGGGAGTTTAAAAAAAAAAAAAAGGTCAGTGTATAAAGTGGTGTACCAACTTAATGGAAGTAATAATAGTTTGCAACAATAGAATGATATGGAGAATTGCTGTGTTGGTGTAAACTACATTTACATTTCCTCTTCTCTATTCCCTACTCTATTTCTCTGTCTCCACATTTCTTCTGTTTACTATTCCTTACTCTTTTCTATGCTTTACATATTGTTTCTTTTTTTAAAAAAAGTTAATAGCAGTTATGCACATAATGTATGAACAGGTTACAAAAGAATAAGATGCAGAAGGGGAACAGCGAGATGCTTAGAGACAGAATTCTATAATCAGAGACACTTCAGTGCTGCGAATGAGAGATGGTTTTCCTACCAGCAGAGAACTCAGTCAATCACTTTGCCTATCACCGACTGCAGATATGTAAGTAGAACAGCACCATTTAGCAATAAGTCAGAATGGAAGCAATAGATTTCGGATGGGAAACATCAATGGGGCCCTCAAATTTCATGCCCCATATAGTTTCCTTCCATCTAAAGGATGGGTAGATAGTACTTTAAAATCAGCAGTGGGAAAAGGGCTTAAGTCTTGGCCCACAGGACAATAATTTGAAAATAAAATGTAAAGAAAAAAAAGGTTTCAAATGAGGAAGATTTCCTGGGAATTCACTCCTAGTTTAGACCTCAATAGTCTATATATAAAAGTGAATGTACACAGCCCCAATATACATCAATTTTCAATAATAATTGCTGCCATTTACTTGCCCATTGATCCAAACTAGAAGTACTGATACAGACTACTACAGTATTATGGTGCACTGAAATCTGACCATATCCATAGGAGATGAACTGCACTAGTTACTCATTAGTTCCCAGGCTTTCACTCTTAAATGGCTTACTGCTCTGCCTATCTCATAAGTATTGCCCAAACTTTAAAATCTGGAGGAGAGGCTCTTCTGGAATCTTTCTACTTGCACAGTAATGATGAATACAGATAGTCCTCGAGTTACAACAGCAATTGGGACCGGGAACTCCTCTGCTAAATGACACAGTCATAAAGCGTAATGTCACGTGACCACATCACTTAGTGATAGCAATTCTGGCAGTCCCGGTTGCCATCATTAAATGAGGACTGTGCAGGTCATTAAGCAAAGACCTCATGTGATTGTGACTTCCAACTTCCTGCCTGCTTCCCCATTGACTTTGCTTGAGAAGCCAGCAGGGAATGTCACAAAGGGTGACCATGTGACCATGGGGATGTTGCAATGACCAGAACTGCAAGGAACCATTGTAAGTCCCCCTCATTCAGTGTTGTCATAACTTTGAACAGTTGTTGAACAAGTGGTTGTAACTCGAGGACTACCTCTATTGTGTTATTCCCAAGCTCTGAAACATACTTTATTTGGGGTTATGTTTGGCCCGCTAGGTCAAAATGTACTCTTCAGTTTGGCCTTTTGAATTTTACTATTATTAGTGTTTTAAGTTTTATCAGTGCAAGTACTGATAAATTCATTTGCCCTCTATTTTAATTTTGTATATTGCTAACCTCCTTTAGATATCATCTGTGGGGAGGATTGGAAGGCGAGATAAAAAGCTAAAAAACAGTATGTTTTAAATTCCTTGGTAACTAGGCATCATCTACAAACATGGCTACTTCCCTATATGTGGATCCCTGAGAAACATTATTCTCAATTTGTACTTCTAAATACATATTTCCTACTCTTCATATGCAGAAAGTTAGCCACACACAGTATCAGAATATCTGCATAAAACAGTACAGGCTTTTGCAAAATAATAAACAGACCTCCCAGATTTGGACTGCAGAAAGACAACTATTTTTGTCACCCAGATATAGCAGCCCTAATAGCGACACATTTGTAGCATCAGCACCACACTCATGATGATATGCCCTCAAGTCAGTCAACTCTTAGCTGCCACACAGATTTTCTCCAGGAGGATCTGTCCCCAATCTGGTCCATCAGGTCTTCCAATGGTACACCCATCACCGCTATAACTGAGTCCATCCACCTTGCTGCTGGTCACCCTCTTTCCTTCCAACTTTCCCAGCATTATATATTTCTGAAGAGAGCTAGGTCTTTCGATAATATATCCAGAGTATGATAACAGAGGCTGGTTATTGGTGCCTCAAGTGAGAACTGGGGGTTGATTTATTCAATGATTCATTTGTTTATTTCCTGGCTATCCTTCATATTCTCAGGACTCTTCTCCGGCATCAATAATCTTCCCATCCACCTTCTTTAATGTCCAACTTTCATTTCCATAGAGTGCTATAGGGAAAACCATTCCTCCAATTTTAAAACCATGCTCATCTTCTTCCAATCCAGCTTCCCTCGAAATATGTTCAGCATATCGGTTGAATAAATAAGGGGGGAGTATACTGTCTTGTCTCACTCCTTTCCAAATCTGGAGCCAGCCTGTTTCACCATGTTCTAACCATACTGTGGCCTCCTGACTTATGTATAGGTTTTACATGATGTCTAGGACTTCAAAGCAATTCCTGATGTTCTCCTTGAAAATGTGGGTATATGCTCAGGATCATATTGTGGAAACTGATTGGCTTTCTTCTTCTTTAGCTTAAGTTGGAACTTGCACCTGAGTAGTTCGTGACCTTTTCCACAGCCAGCACCTGGCCATGTCTTTGATGCCAGAACTGAGATCCTCCATCTCCTTCTAGCAATATTATAGTCAATTGGATTTCTTTGTACTCCATCTGGTGATGTCCATGTATCGAGGTGTTGTTTTAATTGTTTTAAGCCAGTGTTAGCTGTGAAGAAATCATTGGAGTAACAGAAATTGATAAATTGTTCCCTTGCTTCATTTTGGTTTCCTAGGCTGTATAGCCCAACCACATTTTCCTCCTTATTATTTCCAACTTTGGCATTCCAATCTCCAACCACAAGCAGCACATCTTGCTGTCATGTTGTCAATTTCAAATTGAACTTGATCATAAAACTCATCAACTTTCTCTTCTTCTCTGTCAGTGATTGGAGCATAAACTTGAATGATTAAATTGCATTGTAACCCAGTACTGTTCTTGCTATATTCTTCTTAATTATGAAATCGACGGTGTTCTTCCTTTGTTTTTCATGTCCTGAATAGTAAATGGTGTGATCTTCTGCCTGGAAGTATTCCGTTCCAGTCCATCTCAATTTGCTGATGCCCAAGATGTCAATATGCAATTCATATGCAGGTCTAGCACTGAAGATTACCTAGCCAGGTAATGAAATGTTTGCAAGAAAACAACCAAGTTCAGAGAACCCCAAGGACTCTGCAGTTGATTCATTTCATCTTTCATTTCATATGCAGTTAATTTCATCTATGCTGAGCTTTCCCATGTTCATGCTTCTTACGTTCCATGCTCCCACTGCAATTTTCTTTGCAGCCTTGGATTTTCTTTCGGCATATCATCAGCAACCAGACATCCTGATCGCTTTAATCTAGCCTTGACATAATCAATTTTAGTACTCTGAAAGATCCTCAGCTCTTCTTCAGTAGCGTGTTGAAGGCCATCTTGACCTGAGGGGCCAATCATCGGCACTATATGTCCATCATTTTATATTTTCTATCCATATGTTTTTCTTGATAAAACACAGGAGTGGTTTCCACTGCCTTCTCCCATGCAGAATGAATCGATGCCTCTGCTTTGTCACTAAAGCAGTGTTTCTCAACCCCAGCAACTGGCTGGGGAATTCTGGGAGTTGAAGTCCACACATCTTAAAGTTGCTGAGGTTGAGAAGCCCCTCACTAAAGTGATATCCACCTTCAACGTTTTCCTAAAACACCACTGCCAACTTCCTTTAGTTGGGTAACCGGGATGACTTTCACACCTTGGGTGACCCTGCTGGGAATTTATACTCTTGGCTTACACTCCCGGCATTCGTCGCTGATCCC